AAATTGATACAGTAAGACACCGATTTCCATGTTGTATTGTGTGGACACCGATACCAATGCTTACGTAAGTTTCACTTACATGAGACCAACGTACATTTCTCATTCTATATATGCATCGTTTACGTGAGGTAGTTTTGATTCATATTTGCATAAGAATTATTTTAGCTTATTATTGTCAGCTGTATCCGGTGATGCTGCGCAAGATCGAATGGATCGAACTGTGTTGAGTCCTTGGTTGCGTTTTCTATGGGATTCTTATCGAAACTGTCTTGATTTATTAAGAAATACTGCTGTGGTTTGTATTGGTTTGTTTATGCTTAGAGAATTCACTTTCTACTTGCATCAATCTAATATTGAATTTCGAACGCGCGATTGAACAGTTAATACGATATATATCCAAGTGAATATATGAAGTGAACAAATGTTCACTATATTCACTTGGATATACATCGTATTAACTCTGGAGTAGGTTTATAATAAGCGAAAAACTAAATAGGAAGGCGAATAATAGTTGAACAAATTTTCAGGTTGAACAATTGTATCATCGTATTGCCCGACAGTCATTTGAGTTCTGCGCCAAGTATCAGCGGCGAACGGAGTTTCGTAAACTATGTGATAATCTTCGATTACATTTGACGCAAATTCAAAAGCATCAGCATTTGGCTCATGTGTAAGTTCCTGTCGTTAGTGCCATGTCAGAAATTATCAGTTTTTTTGGAATATTTGGATCAGCTATCCTGCACCTTCACTCAAAACATTTTGATCATTTTTGGTTGTATGCTTACACCGTTTAATAGGTTTTAGATAAAGAGTTCAACACTAATGACGAGAATATTTCAGGGTGAAATTAACAAGTGCAGAATCTTTGACTTTAATGCAAGATACGCGTTTAATACAATTAGATACAGCAATACAAATGGAATTATGGCAAGAAGCATATAGAAGTGCAGAAGATGTTCATGGCATGATGCAATTAAGCAAAGATAAGGATGAACGCATGGTTAAGCCAGCAAGTTATGTCAATTACTACGATAAGGTCCTTTATCTTTGTATTTAAAAAACTTTCTAGCAAGGTATCTGTCATCTAATACAGATGGTATATATTCGATGAACTTCTTGTTTAAAATCATAAGGGATGTATTTTAGTCAATGGGAAAGTGGTATATTGTAATTCTGTTAATATTTTCGCATTTCATTACGTTTTGTTCAATATCAAATTTTCTTTATAGTCTCAGTAACGAAATCTGCTCATTCCGTTCGGTGGGATCAAAAAAAATAGAGACTCTATTATTCAAAAAATTCTTTTTAAAATCTTTTTCAATATGTAGTCTGGAAAAGAGTGATGGTGTACTGGACTGTACGCATGTAACTCGCATTATGATTGCTGGGTTCGGAGTTAGCTGTGCACGTTCTCGTTTCATCCCATTGCTTCATAATGGGACGATCCATCTAAGCGTGCGAAATAGTTTCATTTGATATAATTTGAAGGCGTGACGTTTTTCCGCGTATTTTCAACATTAAATGGTACAATTGCCGTAATCTTCTTTTAACAATAAGCAATTAACATGAAAAAATGATTTTAGTTTCAACTTTAATGTCTTTCAGCTTGCGCTAGTGTTTTGGAAGGCTGGTAACAGACTGTTCCATGCAGCTGCGCTTCTTCAGAAATATATCATCTATAAAGATATGAAAAAAACATTTAGTATGGAAGAGGCAATGGATCAAGCAACGCGTGTTCTTCTAGCAACACTTGCAATACCAGACGGCGCTGATGATCCGTCTGACTTAACGCGCCATTTGGATATTGAGGAGCAACACATTGCAAATATGCGGTAATTATTTTTGGCTACAGCTGCTTAATATTTTCATCATACTTCCCACAACCAAACGCCAAATGTGATAATTTGTATTCCCTTCTGAAAGGAACTCATTTTAATAGATTTACGACTACCAGATTAATTTAGTTGTCGGTTGAAGTCTCTGCAGTTCTTAAAGCATGCATTAGTTCATTATGATTTAGATTAAATCAGAATGATATGCTTGCATGCAAAATTATATTTTTGTGAAGGATTGTTCTTGCTGTCTTTTTAATGCAAGGATTGTTCACATGAAGTACATGAAGTTAGATTCAGAATATATAATTTCTGCTTTTATATTTCCATTTTGTTTAATACTATTTAAATTGGAAAATTTTCATAATTGATATTGCAACTGCATCTTGATTTTGAACTCTTTTTCAAATGTACTCGAGCTATTTGTTCAAACTTCACTTCTTCATGGGAAAACACTTTAATAAAATTTGAGAAAACATTTTAATAAAAGTATATGAGATCCTTTAATATTGCTTTTTTTTTCTAAGTTAATTGACAGTGAATATTGGATTACAAAAATAAATGATTTTGTTGAAATTTTTATTTCCATTTGATGACAGCAATACTATATTTTGTCTTCGCATCCTATGGCTAAAAAGTCACTGTTTATTTCAGACTGTTGTCGAATCTTCTTCGTTTACCAGTAGCGCCAACAAGAGCTGGGATTTTGAAAGAGATCACTCGTTTGAATTTGCCGGATGTTGCTGTGGAAAGTGCGCGTGCTCTACATCGGTAAAAACTTTTTTCCATCTATCTATTTTTGAAAAAATAAAATCAGATCTTTATCTTCATTTTTGTATGTGAGTGCTTGTATAATGTCGAAGCATGGTAGGATACATTTATTCGGTGATAAGATAGATTTGTTGATTTACTAAGGTCATTGGACTAACTGTTGGGCTTAATGATGATTTATGCTGGTGCTATACATCCTTGTGAAAGATTCATGGCTAATTTTTTCTATATAGTAGCACTGTTATGTATTACTCTCAAGGAATGTAGTAATAATGCTTCTGATTCATTGATTCTAGTGTCGTTATTGTGGAGCTAAATTAGAGGAATCAAGGGCTCCATTGAATCCACTTTTTCAGATTATTGGAGTGTAATTTTACACCTCTGCGTCTTGCAAATGAGATTCAAACGGAACTAATAAAAGTAGCTGAACTGAACAAAGCTGAATACAATCAATATATTGAAGCATTGAAGGGCGTAACAGCTACAAAAATTATAAAGCAGATTTCAGTCATTTATGATACGCTTTCAATTGAGCGTATCCAGAAAGTTATTCCATTTTATAATGGTGATGAGCTAGAACGTTTCTTGGTGGATATAGCAAAACATCGGTATGTCAGAGTAAGTTCATCTAGTCTTTGCTATAAAAGATGTTAAAATTTGATTCAAATTCTTGATTACATAAATGTCTTAAGCGGTTATAATCCCTATTGTAGAAAGATGCAAATCTGATCTGGGCTTATTTTGGACTGTTTTTAGGCTCGCATTGATCATCGTGCTGGTTCAATTCACTTTGGGGCAGCCGATGCTACACTTTCTGGATTTTTCGACTTGGAAGTATCAGATGGTTTTGGTGGTGAAGCGGAGCAGGTTTAGCCTTTATATATATATTTTTTTTTTCATGTCTAAAGTTAGTAATATGAGGAAATGATGGCCTAAATGAAATAAATGAAATGGCTGAATGCATGATTTTAGCAAATAATTATAGAACTTGGATTGGTAGGACCGTTAATTTGTTGCAGCAGCTGTCATGAGTGTCGTTCGGATTGGCTGTGTAGTAGTGCAGTATTAAGATTAGGATAATTTGTGTTTCATTATTTAATAAACCAAAAAAGAAGCCACGTAATGTTAAGTGATCTTCAAATCATATTAAAATTTGCGAACAACTTTTATTATTTAGGTAGCAGTCGAAGATATTCGAAATCACCTTCAATCAATGTATAATAGTCTACGAGACGTTGTTCAAGTCCTTGATTACGAAGAAATTAAGAAGGCCGCTACTGAAGACGTAAGTCGTTAAAATGCTTCCTTGTTAAAATGTTAATTGCACCTTGATTTTCGTACTTTCTTCCAACAAATCTTCTTTTTAGCTAAAGCGTCATGCGGAGATATATTCATATCACAAAGATGCTGATTACGAACGGATACTCTTGCGAAGGAAGAAAATTGAAAGTTATAAGGAAACTAGCGAACGACAAAAATTGGAGAAATGTCAACAAGCGCAAGCGGAAGCTAATAGGAAGGAAGAGCAGAGAAGAGCTGAAGAAATGCGCCGTTTGGAGCAGGAAAATATCGAAAAGGAAAAACTGAGAAGACTTGCTGAGCAGGAGGAGATTGATCGTAAAGTGCGGGCAGAAAAAATGAAAAAAATTCAAGCAACTCCGATATATCAGGCTATTGTAAAAGATCACGGCGAAGAAGCTTTCCAAAACATGGATCCTGACTCAGGTGTGTATGTAGCCTTCTGATTTTGTGATCATTTTATTAAAAATAATGTCAGCTGAGTTCTACTGTTAATTTTGTAGTGCTTCGTGAGCAGCGTGACCGTTTGGATGAACAGCGTCGTGAACAGCAAGCCCGTTTACAGCAACAAGAAAAGAAATTTGATCATCTTGTCCGTGCTTATCATCTGCAGGAAATGATAGCACGTAAGGCTATTTCGGATAATTTTGCGACGAAGGCTCCACAAAATCATGATGCTTATGAGAAACGTCGTATTGAAGGCGCAACGTATGATCAAATTTTATTGCTTTCTCTTGTTTTGGTTTCTTACTGCTTCCTCATTTCTGAGTATTCGTGTAACTGAATACTTTGAGGAATGAGGTTCGAGAATAAGGTACTTGTAATGACAGCAGACAACTCGCTTGGGATTGTTTACTGTAAATGTAGGTAAAATAAGATGTTGTAACTGGGTATACCTGTGCTACTATTACACTTTCATCAATGATACGTATGAAAACTGAATTAGCATTGTCGAATGGTTATGAAAGACTTTCAAAACTGTCAAACTTTCCACGTTTAATTTTTTTCTATTTTTTAGCAAAGAACATGAAAATGCAGTCGCTGTGTATGAGCGCATGCAAAAAGTACGTAAGGATCCAGATGCGGCTGCATTCCTTGAATCAGTTAAGAAGGCACGTGCTGAAGATTTCAATAAAAAAATGGAGGATTGGGAGAAGAAATTGCATGATGAAAAACGAAAACGCCTTGAAGAACGCCATGAACTTCGAAAGAAAGAGCGAAGGAGAGAGTGGCTTCAGGTTTGTACTGTAACTGCATAATGGCCTAAGGATTGCTTTCTGAATTCTTTTATATTTATACTTTTTCAGGAGCGTGAAAGAGAGTTGATGAAGGCTAGGGAAGCGGCAGAGCAAGCAAGGAGGGAAGAACAGGAGAAAGAACGAAGAGCAGCTCGTGAAGCACAACGACCTCCTAAACGAGAAATAGTTGAAAATTCGGACATGGATTCCGATTGGCGTAAAAGTGCACAGCCAACGCAAATTCGATCTGCTTCTTCAAAATCTTTTGGAGAACGTTTCTTGGAAGGTGAACGCCATCGCGAATCTATTGCAGTTGTAAGTGATTCATTTTTTTTACTTTCGCAAGGAATCTTCGATTGCTTGTGATGGCCAATTATATGATTATCCCAGTGTTCGCTTGGTTGGACTCAGAAATGATTCTTAATGTTCCAGACTGCTTCCGAAACTGATAGTGGACCATGGGTACGTGGAAATATGACTGGATTGTCAAGACAACAAGATAGCTCGGCGCGTAATTTTGAACGTCCATCAGCACCATCTCGCTTCTCTGATCGAGAACCGTTACGTAGCGAAGCAGATACAACGACAAGTTGGAGGAAAGGACAAGTAGTACAACGCGACAGAGAACAAGCTGTTGGACAAGTACCAGAATTTCATTTTTATACAGATTAGAAATATTTGCGGTTCACTCCAAGAAGTCATTAATTAAAATTTAATGAATAAGTTTTGCAGCAATCACTCATGGAAAAACGTGGAGAACCACTCGGTGCGCAGCCGCATGATGCGAAAGCTGTAACTACTTCTTCTCCAGCTGATGCAGGACCATGGAGACGAGGGATGACTGTAACGCGTGATCAGGCCGATTCATCACAACGGACATCTGCAGCAGGTAAGGAGCTTTTACATATTTTACTCTTTATTAAAGCCTTGCTGAAGGCTTTGCGATGAGTTTTAGTTTTAGATGTTAAATCAAATTATGTCTCTGTGTCAAATTATACTTTGTGGATCATTCCTTTTACGGTTTTACTATCCAACCAATATTAGGAAATTGCTTTATGTTGTTATCTAAGTTTTTTAGCTCCCACAAATCAACCGTGGCGCCCTTCAAGGTTCCGTCAAGCAGATGGTGCAGCTGTAAATGGTGCTCCATCTGGAAGAATATTAGAAGGAAGTGGTAGTAATGAACCAAATACAGGTAAATGGAATCGATCTATCCAACGTACCGGTGATGGTCACGGTACACAATCTTGTAAGTTTTTTCTCATTTTAAAAATTTTCCTATATTCAGTGTTTTGTTTTCGTCTTGCTAAGAAACTGCACCTTGAAACCATTTCATGATTTTTTAAAATGCAGTTTAGCAATGCAGAATTTACATCCAGAATTAATGTTTTATGTTTGAAAGGTGTCATCAGATTTCTTTTCCAGTTCGTGGTTTATCTCAGCATCAGCAACGCAGAGGAGCAGCTGACGACGATCGTAATTGGCGTCAAAAATGATAGTAATTATAAACTTTAATTTGGTTACCGGATATTTTTTCTGTTAATTTTTATCTTTCGACAAATCCTTTCCTTCTCTATCAGTGGTTGTTTTGTTGAAGAAGAAAAGATTCTTCTTTAAACTATTTGGTCAACTTCTCATGTTATTTTTCTCATTAAATATGAATACATTCACTTTTTTACGGTTATTTAGTCGGAGAAAGCAGTGAAATATTGTGTTACTCACCTTTCCTCACATAGGACAATTATTTTAAAAATAATCCCGAATAAACTATGAAGGGCTCATAAAGTGGCATATGAAACCATAGCTCTTAAATAAGCGGCATACTTCTCGTCGCGTTAAAAACATTATGAAAGTATTTGGAGCGTCACAAATATCGTCTCAGCCATTTGATGGATTTGACGGAAGCTCAGCTTCGAGTTTTACGGCTGTTGAATGCTACATTCTGCTGCTTGTTTCCAATCGCAATTTAGTTGATGCACCGTAAGGCAAGATGGAAAAGAGTGAATTTTACCATTAATGAAATTCAGAGTCACTCAGTAGAAACATGAGATATGCGCATTCGGGTTTTTCTCTTGTTTTTTTTTAGTTCTGGGGTTGTCCTGCGTTTGCTGTAGACGTATTGCATATGTTGTTTTGTATGATTGTATATTGATTAGTGGCGTTTTATGAGGCCATCTTCCAATTTAAAGTTTGTTATAATAAAAGCAATAGGTCAGTTTTAATGTTTGTCCTTAAAAAAATTGTTTTCGAATCGAATTTTAACTGATTTGCAGGCAACGTAATGTTTTTCAAGGATCTCTGCTTGATAGCAATTAAGAAATAAGAGATTAACAATTGTATGGAAATTTTGTTGTCGCGGTGAAAAGACAATCGTTTCTTGAATTGCACAAGATTGAGGGTATCAAATTCCAGCATAAGTAGTACTCCTAGTCTCTTATGATGAAATTAGGAGAGTGCTTGGACGATATGATTGGTTCTTTATTTGCGTTTTACAGTGATGTGTCAGTTGTCTTTATTATGTGGGAAGACAACGACATTATGGATTCTCAGTTTCTCGTCTTTATCATGTGTTGGAAAGACAAGAAGCGAGCTTATGAAAAGACCCGACATATTTGTTTTGATATCTTCCCAGTAGTGGCATTTGTTATTTTGTCAAGTTGCTTATTTGTCAAAGTGTCAATTGCTTGTTTTGCTTATGATGCAGCGAAACGCAATGAACTTTTATAATATAAACTAAATTATCTACATGTAAAACAATGTTTTATAGCAATTTATCGCAGAAGTTTCAACAAGCGTCGTAAAATATGAATTAGAAGTGAAATTTAAATGTGGGATGCCAAAATAGTTTGACTCACTGAAATATATTCCTTTTTCGAGGAATTTTGGTGCTAACATGATCCGTTCGCACCTATTTCACTTTCGACCCGAACAATTGCATGGTTTCCAATATTATATCCTAAGTCACCATTCTAGGATGCCAATGATTTGCAAATAACTCACCGTACTTCCTTTCGGGACTTTATGCAAAAAAACATTTGAAATGTTTCTCATTTAAAATTTGTAATTATATAAATTTTTATTAATTACTTGATTGCTAGTATGTAATTACTTTTATATATGAAAGTGATTAGTGAAGTTATGAAACGAAGAACTATATTGGTTGACGGCCGGAAACTTCATGCAGAAAATTGCTATACGGCTAGAACTATTAGAAAAGAACGACACAGTGTACCAAATCCCGAAGTGTCCATTTGGTGACATTAACTGGTGAACAGCACAAAAACAGCACAATTCATGCTATTTTTTTAATGAAAATACTTGAAGTAAAACAAGAAAAGTTACGAAATTATATATTTCATCTATACAAATTTGATTTTTATTGGATTTGTGGAGTTTCGAGCAATTTTATTGGAGAACCCAACATATCATCACCATTCTTGGCATCCGATTCACCTTGGAATACTGCTGGTTTGAGCAGTTTTGATTGAGCCTCCTCCGAGATATTATCCATATTTATTGGAGTTTCACTTGCAGTGGATTCTGCAATGAATCATTTAATGCAAACAATTATATTTCACTTAGAATTTTTAATGCTTAAAAGATTGTGAAAAAATTGGATTTTGAGGGAAATTCACCTCAAAATCATCAGTTAAATCAGCTAAATGGATTACCATTTTCCATTCATCTTCCGTGACCTTCTCCATTTACTTCTTATGATAGGTTATCTTATATCTTATAATTCGCTCCATCAGAATTCATTAAGAAAAAAAACCTTGAATGAAATTGATTTGTGGTGCAGCATTGTCTGGCTTTACAATCAATCCAACCCCCTCATTTGCAGCTACTGACACATCACCCAAAGTATCTTCTTCAAATGAATGCTGAAAAAGGATTAATAATAAACCTTTGAAATAAATTTCCCATCATTTACTATTTTGCCCCACCACCAATTAATTATCTTACTTCTGGTTCAACTTTAACACCATCGTTCTTCATTGTTATTTCTTGTTCTTTATCAGGAGAGTTGGTACTTTCATTTTCATGAATTCCTTTGTCGAAAAAACTACAAATTTAAATTTTGCATTAAATGTTTTATATCAAATTCAAATTCAAAACTGGTTTCAGTGTGTCAAAAATAATTTAGAAATTTTTCATGGATGTAAACTCATTTTTATCATGTGAGATGTACTTGAAGGTAGAAAGAGATTCCGATGAGTTGCCGGAATTGCCGATCATCGTTGTTGCCTCGATATTGGCAGCAGCAGTTGCTCCAGCAATCTCTTCCGATGTTTGCCCTTCCACCGTTTCAACCGGTCGTCTCGGGAATGTATCAGCAATCATTAGTACTGGTATTTCAGTATCGACATTTTTCTCTTTCTATAAAATGTAAATATAATGGCATTTTTTCCTGTGTTAAGTGTTAGTTTTACGCTATCATATGATCAAACATCATCATTGATCCTTAATAAAATTATGTGAAGAGATTCACAACTGTATCCTTACCTCCGCTTGTTGTTCTGCTTCCAATCGATCTTGCTCTATTTGCATTCGGAGAGCACGGTGTTGCAATTCTCGAAAAATCTCGTCTGAATTAATTTGTGCTGGTGGAACTACACTTGAAACTAAAGGTGGTACCATTACCGCCGGCAGGACATTCTGCTGAGACATCTGCTGTTGCATCTAAAGTATGAATAGCAAGATTATCCCAGGAATTTTCTCCGGAAAGCATGTTATCGACCGATTTTCCGTCCATTTCCCAATATTTCCATCTTTTCTAGTTTGGATATTCCAAATTTTGCATTATTTTAGCAAATTGAACTTATTCATTTAGAGGACAAACAAGTGTCTGTTCATTTAAAATAGACTTCAAAAAATTAATATAAAATCAAAAACATACCTGTGCTCGTGATAGTAACTCTTTAAAGATAGTATCACGATCTGGGGTGCCATCAAGTGTCATTGGTATTGACTGAAAAGCAACCCAATAATGTATAGTTTAATGGGATTGTGAAACCTAGAAGAAAGAATCAAAATTTTCAAAAGGAATACAATAAATATGTAAAATTTACTTGATCAACTACAGGTACAGGTATAGGTATTTTCTTCTGCTCCAAATCAAGCCTGTAATAATATACTTCTGCATCGATTTGGTAAAACGAAAGGAAAATTGAAAAAAGAAAGACCACTCATCAAACCAAATAGTCAAATGGAAAACTCTTCCATTTCCTTTCGTCTTCTCAATCTTTCAATTGCAATTTTCCGAAGGTATTCGAATTAAATTAAAAATATTCATGTGATTATATGAAAATAATATTTCGAATGCACCTTAAATACATTTTTAATGCATTTTATGGAAAAATCAAACAATATCAACAAATGCCATTCAAATGAAATGATCAAATGAAAAGAAATAAAGGTCAAAATTTATACTCAAACTTATGTACCTATTGATCGTATCATCACGAATTAGCAATGGTGTAGCACTTGGTTTTCCTGGATTCGACCCAACAGGTTGAATTATCGGCTCTTCTCTGTTCATCATCTATTAAAAATTAAAAAGTACATTTCAGTAGTGTTAAATATTAATATTTTATTTATTCGTCATTTGTTTCAGGAATTTATTTCTAAATAAAATTTAAGTCACCTGTGGTGGCATCAATTTGATTGGCATTATTGCCGGTTGTTGTTTAGGAATCATGTATGGGTGCATGGGCGGAATTCTAGGTATTATCATGGGCGGCGATATCATCGGTATCATTGGCATGTTACGCTGGTTTGCTTCCATTAATGGTTGCATATTATTCATCAACATCATTGCTGGTGGATGCATTTGCGCAAATGGAAATATTGGTAGCATTGATTGCTGTGGTTCAACTTGTGGCAGTTCTTGCGGCTCTTGTAGCTGTAGTCCTACAATGAATTCAGACATTTTCCGCTCTACTGCTTCCTCATGTTCAAAAAAAGAATTTCTTGTCATTTTTCATAAATTAAATTTTAAATTATCCTTTGATTAAAAAATTGATTACATTGATTACACTCATCTTTTTAGGCTAAGCTATACTGCAAAAGGATTTATGAGTCACAGATGTATTGTTCGATGCGATTAACTTCACTCAGATCATGTTGATCATTCAATTTATTCCACTGATCTGAAAATTTGAATGCTAACCTCGTTCCATCTCAGCTAACATTCGCCTTCTGAACATTTCACGGCGCAGCAGCCATTCCCGTATTGCTCGACGATAGCTTGAAGATTAATTTCAAAAGATAAGATTACAATATAAGACATTCTAGGAAATTCTATTAAGCCACATTGCTAGTGCATTATTGAAATGTAAAACGAACTTATCTCAAATCTCGTAAATAGTGAAATAATTAAAAATAAAATATGCTAGAATTCAACCAGCAAACTTTTTAAATCATCTTACTTCACCAATTCCCACTCTTTCATTTCCGTTTGTGGTGCAAGTGGAACTGAAAATGAAAGCAGTTAAGTAATGATTTCAGAAAGTCCATTTCGAACTTACAAGATTAAAGGTAGATGTGACATAAAGCTTTTTTACATTAGACTTGCTTAATTAATCTGTTTGCAAAAAAACTTTTTTCATGATAAAAAAGAACGTTTGGCTTGGCTCAATATATTCCATCCCTCATCAGTGTAAATTGCGCCCTGGGTAATAAAGCGGAAAATATACGTTGTGGTTGAGTTAGAGTTGTTGCTGGTAATATAATTGATGGCGATAATTCATCTGGATTATTTCTTTTCTCTGAAGTTCTTAGACAATCAAAAATTATACTGTATGTTCAGTTAGACTAAGTCTAAGTCATTGCTAGTTCAGGTTTAGATGTCATTTAGATGTCATGTGTTTGTTTGTTTTTTTTTAAATGAACCATAACTAACCAGCGGGTATAATTTCAGGCTTCATCATCATATTATCAGGTACTATGCCATTATTTTGAACAACAGCTACTTTTTGAACACCAGGAATTTTGAGTAAAGTTGCAATCTGAAACCATTAGCGCTATATTCAATCCCTCTAAAACGAAATAATGCAAAAAGCAAAAATGTGGACAGTTTTGATCAGTTGAAAAATTATTAAAAAATAAGAAGCGGTACGATTTTAAATCACAAAAAAATCCATTGAAACAATTTCACAACTGGTAGTCTGAAATAGAATTTCCTCACCGCTTTCATCGCTTCGAAACGGTTTGGTATCAAATCATCCGATTGTTTCATTCTTGCACCATCATTTGTTGTAACTTCGCCATCATGTTTTTCGGTAATACGATTATTCTGCATCATGTCCACATTTTGATCCATTATTCTATTCATTTTTTCCGGTACATTTGATGAATCAAGTTTAGGTATGATACGTGTATCTTCTTCTGCCACATGATGTCTACCAGGTCGTTGTATCCATGATGATGTTGATCCACTTACAGTAACTTCATTTGACTGAAAAGGTAGCATATATTAAATTAGAGCAATTCCTCTATTAAAATATACTTGCTTTTAGAATCTGTGATTAGCTTTGAATATACTTTGGATGGAAAAAAAAACAATGTTTGATGCAATAGTACCAAATAACAAATAAATCCGATCCTTTTTAGTTTCACTAAGGAATGTCCTGACCTCTGGATCGCATAGGGATAACACGGATATCTTTATATGCGCCCAAATTGTCAAAAATTTTTGTAGTATGAGCAAAATGAATTAAGGAAGACTGTCATTACTTCCTTTATGAACCGAAATGGTCATATTGTTAAAATATTTACTTAAGGCAGATATTATCAATGCAAAATGTTTGCAATTATTAATTGCATGTATTTTCATTTCTTAAAAAAGAAATCGAAGAATGAAGAAGGTAAAGGTGTTCGGTGATTACCTTTGTCTGGTGCAGTAATTCTATCACAATTTCATATATAAATGAAAACAAACTTCAGGCATATTATCATTTCCTTCTTATTGACTTCTTTCTTTTTTGGTCAAGTTTGAAAAAGAATGCATTTTAAATATATATTTCTCTAAACTAAATGAAATGAAAATTTGAAAAGAAAAGAAAAAAAGAACTTACAACAAGATGATGGACTTTTTTATAGAAGAAATCGGGAATCACATAGAAGATAAATGAAATGGTAATTAGAGATAGCAATATGATTGCTATATGAGATGTTCCACATCTCTTTTTGGCTACTGAAATAAGATTCTTGCTGAAATTAAATGGATAAAATATGATGATAATAATAAGGACAGATTAGCTTGGCTCATTTGATATTATGAGAATGAGTTTCAAATTATTCTGGCAAAGTAATGTTTTTGTTAGTTTAACATACAAAACAAAAACATACATATATACACACATATCATTAATAAATTCCTATAATCTTGAAAATTCTGTTTCTTTTATTAAATGAAATTTGATATAATTAAAAACAATTTTAGCATCGTTTATCATAAATTTACTATTCTTTAAAATGGACTTGAAAATTGAGGAAATTTGAAGAGGCATTCAACATTGATGAGTTTTCGACAAGCCTTTTAAAATTCAAAAATCCTCCTCCACAAAACACTACCCATTTGGTCATTATTACTATTATTATTTATTTATTTATTGTTATTATTTGTTACTATCATTGTTTATTATTATTAATTATTATTACGTATTATTATTATCCATTATTGTTTACTATTATTATTAACTATTATCACTATTATTAATTATTATCATTGTTGTTGTTATTATTATTGTTTATTATTATGTGAAATATTTCACATTGATGAAGAGAGGAAATTTGGAATAAATAATTTTTATGAAAAAATGCAGTGCTATATTCTATTGTTATAAGAAATGGACATAAGAGAAATTAAAAAAGGAGTACCAATGGACGAGATTGGAAGAGTGACCGGATAGAAAGCAGCTTGTGGCGTAGTGGACGATATTTTGATTCCTTCCAGTTTTTTCGGCTCATCGCCTTCTTTTACATTTGAACTTAATGCAAAGATTTTTGTCATCTGTAAAAAAGAAAAAAACAGGAATATTTAAAAACTAATTTAAATCTTTTTGTCGTAACCGTTGATGAGTTGAGGAGATGATGGAATGTTAGAAAATTAAACAATAATAGAGTATTATCGAAATATAAATTGCAAAATGTAAACTTTCAACTTTATCCAAATGCATACCTTTTTCCGATTGGGAAATTCAAAATGTCGGTCAGAAGGCTTAAAATGCAAATAGATTTCAATTGATTCAAAATGTGATCATATTTCAATCTTCAATTGAAATGCAATCAGAAGATGAAAATTCATATTGACACCCAATTATAAATTTCTCTTTGTGTTAATTTCAATTATACAAAATAAGTAAAATTATTTTTTTCTTTCAACAAACCATTACATTTTGAAATCGGAAAAAACACATTTCGACAGGTATTTTTCTTTTTAATTAGAAATAGATTTTTTTTTTTGAATTCGTCGGAATACATATGAGAAAATTGAAGAAAGATAAATGTTTGAGAGATGAATGGGTGGTGGGTGTATTGGTGAAAAATTCTTAACTGTCACTAAGACATAGAAAAATGTCCGTTATTTGAATGCATCCATCAAAAAAACAAAAATGATTTACTGAAAAGAAGGACAGAACAAAAATTGGTTGATAATTAATTTTGCAATTTTTAATGTATTGAAGAAAAATAGTGTCATTGTAGTGTAACTCAATTATGGTACGGTAAATGATAGGCTTATGCAATGATATCATCCATTGCAATTGCTATTTTTTTGATAAGTGATAGATGATTAAATCATTTGTCAGGATACAATCTTCCAGTTCATGATATACAGAATGATAAAGGTCATATACCTAAGACTATTTGTAACCATATATTATAAGAACTTTTTAACTATTCGAGAATCGAAATTAGGTAGTCTTTCATACATCTATTAATCATTAATAATCTATAATATCATAAACGATAGGGTAATAAATAGAATAAAAAGTAGGTGAACTATGATAGGTCAAATTTCACGAAATTCCAATAAAATAATAACACTGAAGATAGACCTTAAATAACTTCAAATGATTAATAGATTGCTGCAGTTTCATATGAAACGGTTAATATTACTGAGTTTGCAATAATACTTCAAGTGTGAATGCTTTATTTATTTGAATGGTTACTTAGTAGAGAGGTATGAATATGTGAATATATAATGCAAATGTCATAGATATAGTTGATTTGATTTATTTTATGTTTATCACTTCGTTTAATTTTATCCTATGTGATGGAATGAGAAGTAAAGGAATGAAGTGAATTACAGGTAGATAAGGATGAAGTTATAAGAAGGAAGATATTAAATTTCCCTTTTAATTTCTGTTAGTCTTCCTATTTATAAACCTTCTCTTACCTGGGAAGAAATCTAAAAAATTAAAATTTAAGAAACAAAATTTCTTTTCAGGTAGGAAAAGATTGATAATTGGGAAAATTAACAACACATCAAGTACTGAAAATTCGACAAAGATGATGAGAGAACAACGACGACGAATGTTATAAGGCAATATGAATGTGAACAGAGACGAACTGTCATGAATGCTAACAAAATGGGTTAGGTGATGGATTAATGTGATTGGGTAAGGTAAAATAGGTAAAGTGAAGAGAAAATATGAAGGTAAGTGGAAGTGATGATTACATGTTGCTTACCTTACCTTACCACACTAATACAACAATACAGATCATTTAAAAATAGTGATGAAAGAGAGAGGAAGAACAAAATCACATTGATAAATAGCAAGAATCTCATATTTCAATCACTTCGACCAGTTAATTTATTAATTTTCTTCTGGCAAACAGGTTCTTCCTGTTACACCTTGCCTTTACTCTATCCTATCTCTCCTTTCCTCTCTCTCTCTCTCTCTCCTATCATTTAAAAATTTTACATTATTGTCTTTTCCATCAATATTAAAATTTTAAATTTATTAAAGTAAAATTACACTTTTTTACTGTTGCGCACTTTCATTCGTTACCGTATGTCGGCTATAATGATTGATCCAAGAGTGCTTTCTAGATAGAGCGCTGGTTTGTTGCAAAAATTGTTCAACTAGAGATAACACATTTTTTAATTTCTTGATGTTGATGAACTTTCTTCGTCGCTTGTGGAAATGGATGAGAAATAAGTTGATATGATTAAAAGAACAATGTTTGAGTAACACTCACTAAACTATTCTTAATAATTCAAATTCAGAAGGGCCTTAAATCTTTACCTTCTAATGAAAAATGTGTGCTAAGAAAGAGAAAATAAACAAGCTTATGTTATCCAATTTGGTGATAGAATGATAAGTGATATGATAAGTGATCGTGTAAACAAATGAATAGGAAGAAGAGTATTGAAGTGATAAGAGATTTTTGTAAGTAAATCACAAAATGAGGAAGATTTCGTCTATTAAATGTTTTAATTGTCAAAATGTGAAATGAAATTTTAAAATGAAATGTAGGAAAAGATGGGGCGGTAAGTTAATGATTGTGAATGTAAAAATGTCATTTAATTTTTCGAAGAAAGAACGAAAGGTATAGATAATTAAACTGCGTCCAAATTACACTTTCAAAATGTTTTCAAAGGATATTAAAGTAAGTTGAAAAAAGTTTTCTTACAACATCATAAGAAGGCAACTGATTCTTTCTTCAATCTTTACAAAGATGAAGGAAAGATTAGAAGAAATAGAAGTTCGTGTATCATCGAAGAAGGTGTAATCAAATAAAAGATATGTTATAAAACTGCAATTGAGAGTGAAAGAGAGAGAGAGAGAGAGAGAGAAGGGAGAAAGAAAAAGAAAGAAGAGGGGTAGTAATTTCCATCCGTAGATGGCCAAAACACGAACGGAACTGGTTTTAATTTAGCGAGCAAAATAATAATGATACAGTGATGATGGGACGGTTGAATGGGTCGATGGTTGGATGGATGGGTGATTGATAATTGTTGTCTGATAATTCTTTCTATTCCTTTCCTCTCTCCCTCTCCTTTTACTTCTCTCTTCTCTCTCTTCTTATATGTGAGAGGCGCAAAAAGAATTTGCTCGAATTTTCATTTGGTCTCGTGTATTTTGTGTTTCTTGATACAGTATCATCCATTGATAAAAATGTAAATTTATACTCATTTAAATGTATGTATGCTTAATTGTATACAACTATTTGTGTCAATGGAAGGAGAGGAAAGGAAAGGAGGTGTAGTGTAAGTGAATACTTGAGTGAGTGAATACTCGAATACTCGACTTGTGAATACTCGAATACTCGATTAAATGAATACTCGACTGAGTGAATACTCGAATGCTCTACCGAAATTTTGATGAGCGTAGAAAGTAATCATCGTAAGTTGAGATGTATGAATAGAAATTATTAAATTTCATTCCTCATCTTTTAACACTTAAATTATTGTTGCGTGGATTATTAGATTATCACACGAGCCAAATCCATCTTTTTATTCCAAAATTCCAATTTAATCGATATTTAAAGCTTTTCAAATTCATAAATCTTTACAATTAAAAATAAACCAAATAGATATATAAGCGACAACATTCAGAATTAATTTATCGGTGGGCTGATATGATGATGATAAATTTGAAGGTTTAGAAGTAAATAACTTAAGAGGTTACAGTTCAAGAATATCCCTATCATTTTATCACATTTTCAAGCTTAATATGATGAATAGAAAATAAAATTAAATATGATAGGAAGATTTTTTTTTCTCATTTTGAAATCAAAGTTTCTTACATTGACCTTCAACCTCTTATCGTTCTCATCTTCTATATGTGCATCGTGTAATGGTTATTACAAGCTGATCTAAACTACCGTTGTATTTCACATTTCAATCAAAAATGATAAATCGATATTTTTGATTTGCACTAATTGATATATTTAATTTTCATCATTTCTAAGAAAAAAAATATGCAAAAATGGCACAATGTTTAAATGTCATTAATGAATGATATTAATGTAATTAATGCATGAAATAATAAAATTTAAATGAATTTCTTAAAAGATGAAATTCTTCCTGAATTGTTAAAAATATTAAAATTGAGCGATTGGAAAAGATTATACAATAAAGAAAAAAAGGAAAATATTTCTGAAAAGTTCAATACTTTCAAAGTTCATATTGAAAAAGACATATTTTTAGCATACTGAAATGAACAAAGAAGTATAACAAAACAACCTTAACTTTCATTACTTAATAATATAAACCTATTTATTTATTGACAATTAAATGTAAAAATTTCATTCGTACAAAATGATCATAAAAAATTTTCATTAATTGAATGGAAATAATAATAATAATTTATGGTGTTGAAATATCCGAAATGTTGAATAGAAAAAAAATCAAATTGCTGTCACCAATGGAAAAGATTTTTAGGAGAAGGAAATTAATTTTCGAACGAACATTTAAACTATAAAATATTAAAAGTTATGAATGTACAAAAAAAGTTTCATAAAAGAATATCAAATTAAATACAACAGTAGTCTATTATTTTAGGGGGAATGGAAGAATGGAAATGATAAGTTTGAAGGGAATGAAGATAAAGAAGATCAAGCGGAAACTACAGGACAGGTCAATTCGATTTGAGTACTGCCATGCTTTCGAAATGTCGAATGTCCATCAATAACCTTATCACTAAGACGAATACGAACTGAACGTCCTTTAGAACCAAGCGTACATTGCAATTCTCCAACTTTTACTTTCAATTTCTTATTAAATTTCCTTAAAATTGGCTAATATCGTTTCTTGGAAATGTATTAAGTTAAAAAATAGCTCAATTCTAATTTAATTAATCTTGAAGAAGCACTGATTATTATTAATTAATGCATTGTAGTTGAATAATAATCAAACAAGAATAGATTTATTGTCAAACACAACAAGAATAGATCTTAAATCAGTTTATATAAAATTCCAGTATTATTTGGTGAAGTACTTTATGACTTTACAACTTCTAAAGCTCATTATTTTGACGATTTAATAAAAAGAGATTTATGTAATTAATCTTTTCAATTGTAAAATTTCATTTTTCAAAATTTGAAAAATCCAGTTTTTTATAAAACTGGTTCTATCAATCGAAAATCCTAAAATATTGGAAGGATCAGAATGAATAGTGAAGCGGATCATTCAGCAATTGTTAATGATAAATCGCAATAATTCAATTGTTTTTATATAAAAAAATTTTCTTTGAAAAAATAAACTGCATGAATTCAAGTTTTGTTCAATTGTTTTATAATTTGAATTATTGTAACTTAATTATAATACCCAATCCTGAATGATTCGCTTCACTGCTCAATCTACTCAACCCTTTGTGATATTTCAGGATTTGGAAATGACGAAACCAGTTTCTTATAAAGCTGAATTTCTTTTTCATCCTCATAATCTCCACTTTTAAGGGGGGGGGGGGAGGGGGAAAGATTGAGAAGACTATTATATCTTGATGGTTTTATTGATGATTTTCGCTATTCTAAATAAACAAACCTTTCAAAATGAGCACATAAAATTCCAATCACTTCACCAACACGATCCTCATTTTTATGATTGTATAAACAACCAATAAAATCGTTGCTACCAAGATGAAAGACTATCGTATTGTCACTTTCTTTTGATACACTAAGGCCAGCAAGCTGCAAAATATTATTGAGAATAATGTTCTAACTAAATCTTAACAAATTCATATCATAAAAGATTAATATAAATTGGTATCTTAAAATATTCAATTCTAAAAACCTTCGAAATTTTTAGCATTTATCAAGTGTGAACCCAATATATTGCCTAATTGATCTTTTATTACAAATCAATTGAAACCATGATCAAATGAAAAAAAAGACATTAGAAGTTTTTACATTTTGAAATGATTGTTGTTTCATTATTTTGAATTTTTTTGCATCCAATTTAGCAATGAATTCATCTGTTATTAGAAGGACACGAAATGCCGACTTATTGTATCGGTTGAATTTCTAAAATTTTACAACATGCAATAAAATTCTTAAACTCTGAATAAAACCTTAAACAAATATTGACTTAAACTATCAATGAAATAGAACGATAAAATCTTTTGTTAACAATAATTGATCTATACTTATCAAATAGATAGCCAGATAAAATAAACATGGAATTGAAGTCAGGTAAATAGTTCTGTAATTATACTTGAATGTAGGAAGAGAATAGAACTTTCGAGAAGTTGCTATTTCGTCGTATATTCTCCAACTCTAGAAGATAATCATGCCTTTGACTGGGTGATTTAATCTCATCATCCTTAAAAATAAACATTATTAGAGGGTAAATGAAATAGAGCGTGTATTTTTATTTGTCTAAATTTAAATATCTAATATGTAATGAAAACGATGGATTGAACAAAATAACTTAGCTCACATGTTAAATCATTATTATGCTTTTTCCAAATAATTATATCTTCTGATAGCAATATAATAGATTTTTCCAATCATTTGTTAATTAACTAATTAACCATATTTAAATAATCTCCTTTCCATGGTCGTAAATAACCCCATTCCAAGCGTTTGTTCTCAATAGCATGAAAAGCGGCCACTTTTTCCTTCAATGATTTCTTCAACGTCAATGGCATTCGATCGACAATTTTGTTTGCACGCCAAATAGCATGCATTTTCTGCAGTTTATCACCAAAACTTTCAAAACCATTCGGCGTAATCGGCCACTGTATGCTTCTTCCCAAATCACGCCTTTTTTCCACATCACTGAATAAATGTAAATCTTTTCCTAAAATGTGAATTATCATTTCGCTCTTGTCAAAATTTGGAATCGATAGAAGAAAATAAAGAATGCTTCAAATTGATCAACCAATTAAATTATTGATATAATTTTAATTTCAAAATAAAATGTCTTTTTGATCTAAGCAAAAATCAATTATCTTTTTTGGTCTAAGTGAAAATCACAAATATCATATTTTCATTTACTACGAGAGATCATTTAATAAAGTTATTAAATGAATATTAATTCAAACAATTAAATTTTAATCCTCCTCTGCCTTAAGCTATCTTCTATATCATTTCAGGCATATTTCTTCATTTCGTAGAAATTTTACATTTGACGGAAATTTTGATAAAAGAAAAATATACCGAAAACTTTCAACCAGTGTCATCAGATAATTTCGTAGCTTGTATTTTCGATAGCAATGCATGATGGCGTATATTTGTTTTATGCGCTTAAAGCGATGTCTACCAAGCGTTCCTCTCCAATACTGTAATACACACAAATTTAGTTACTTTCAAATATCTAACGGGAGAAGGCGGGAATCATCTATGAAAGAAGTTAACTCAGTACAAGGAAACCTGGCAAAATTATGCTTAACATGCGGTGATGCGCTAATATATCATTTAGGAATAATGAATTAACAGTGTAATAATCAAATTTATCAAACAATGTGATAATCAACAAAAAATATATAATAAATTATCAACAGTGTAATGATCAAAAAGAATTTTATACCTTCTGCAATATTATGACAATATCGGATAGCTTCTGTTGACGTAAATCTTCCAATTTAAACACCGTTCGTGGGCTACGGATAAATAATTTTGTTTTACCATTGACGCAGTCTTTATGTAAATCAAACTTCTCCAATAATAAATTCGTATTTTCCCTTACTAAGTCTTTAGATGTATTTGGCCAAGTTCTTGTTGAAAGCATTTTATATCTGTTATTAAAAAATTAGAAAGATTTTGAAAAAAAGATTTATAAAAAAAATTACACACATATAAAACTTCCATACATAATTATGTATTTATTTCTAAAAGTTGCTCTTTTATGATCAAAAACTTGCTAATGATATTCTAAAGTAAATTAAAATACAACATCCGAAATTAATAATCAAATATTCATCAGGCAGTAAACTTCTTTAATTATAACAAAATATTTTGGTAGAAGTTCGAACCTTTGTAGAAATCTTTCATATGTGATTCTGTATGCAAAACCTGCTCGTCGTACACGTACATTTTCCAATAATCCCAAGTATCGAACCTAAAATTTGAATTTGATATTTATAAAATTGAATTTTTAATTTTGAACTTTATATTTATGCTTATGACAAAATTATTTATGAAACTGATTATAAAAAGCTTACCTAAACAAATAAATAGTTCTTCCACACATAATTTATTCCAAAATGAATTAAAAAAATAGTATAGTAACCTGATGTCCAACGCTTATTGCATCAAATGAAGTACTCGATTTAATCTCATTTGGTTTGATACAACGAACATAGTGAGGTTCCTTCGCTAGAAGTTGCTGCACTAAATCTGACATTGAATTCTGAAATGTAAATAAAGTAAATCTTTTAAAATTACTTAAAATGAATTAGAAAAGAGAAAATATGAAAAGTTTAAATTACATGCAAATATTACCTTGAACATTGCACCAGCAGTTAATGGTTTTTTATTAACTTCTAATACGGATTTTGCTCCATCAGGAAATATTTCCCGTAATACTGGATTATTGCTGTAATTTAAAAGATAGCGAATTTTCCTTGATATAATGCGCATATATTATCAAGGCTTACTTTCCGCTTATTTAGTTCGAATAATTTACCAAATTTTTCACTAAGGGTATTATTGCTAATATATTTGTAATTTGTGTAAGAAATGACAACTGAAATTCAAATTTAACAAAATCTTAAATTAATTTAAACGAAAAATTTCAAAAAATTTTTTCTCCTTACCTATTATATAAAAGCCTTTTGAGATCCTGATAAAGTGTATCACGATTTTTATCAATAAAACCAACAGTACTATATGTTACATCACCAGCATAGTGAGTAATTCTAAAGTCTCTCTCAAAGGCCAGCGTTTTATCAGTTGGATTTAATCGACGGCTTGTATAATACTTATTTTCATTTAATATTTTGTCCATTTCAGCCAAAAAAATCTGAAAATTAAAGATAAATTTCACAGTATCTTCTTCCTCTTTCTCTCTCTCCCTTTCTCTCTCTCAATAAAAACCAATAATGACAAATGTATAGTGAAAAAGAGAAATGATAATGAATATTGATTAATTAAATTAATTAAATCAATGAGTAAATGCTTTTATGAATATGATACATCTAACATGAAGAAGCATTTATTTTAATTTCAATGAAAATAAAATATTTTGTTTCTATTAGTACCAGTCTTCTATACCTTATTTTTTTCGACATGAAAATAAGGAAAAGATTTAATTTTTTGGAATACGTATATTGAGAACTATTAAAATGTGAAATGAGAATAGCTATTAAATGAATCTGATTAACAAACCTTATCACTGATTGGGCCAACCGTATAACATGCCTCATCAAGCAGTGCTAAAATTCCTGTACAAGGTATTTCAACCAAATCACAAATTTCTTTGTTGTTAAAAAATTGAATCTAAATAATAATTTTTTGAATTTATCAAGAAAATTCCTTATTTTTAAATCAAATTTAAATGATAGTAAAATGAGGTTTAAAAAATTTTAATTTAATCATTTTTCACTATTACAAGAAAATAAAACCCTCCAACAAATCAACCAGTATATATCATGCGATTCATTCACATCAATCACCTCAGTCGTTTGTCACAATAAATCTTACAAGAAATAGAAATAAAACCATTCCTATGTACGGATTGTACGGATTACATTGATCCGGAAATTTATTTAAACTTTAAAATTTACTTGTTGCCATTCAATTCCTTCACGTTTATACTCTTCTTGTTCTTGATTTAGCACCAATTCAATGAAAAGTTGTTGTAATTTTTCGTTGCAGTAATTGATACAAAATTGTTCAAAACTATAAATTTAAACTAATTTTAAAATTTACATTCCGCTTGCAGAACTATAAATTTAAACTAATAAATTTAAACTAATTTTAAAATGAAATTAAAATAGTCAGTTTTTTCTTCTTAAAAAAGACTACGTGAATTACGTATACCTTACCTATTTATAGCAAATATTTCAAATCCATAAATATCAAGCACTCCAATAACAGCATTTTTCCTTGTATAATCAGTTCTTTCAACGTTGATCGCTTGATTAACCTTTCCGATAACCCACGTGAATAATCTCTCATAAATTACCTTAACATTGAATATTTCAAAGTCTTAATGAAAAATAAAATGACAAATTATATCACAGATATTGATAAGAAATAATAAATGCCTATATACAGTATGTAATTTATCGAAGATAAATTTTCATTAAAAAAAAGATAAACTTTTTAAAATTTATCTTTTGAATTTCGAAAATTTCAAGTTATAGAGATTTTGAAATCATAAAAGTAAAATAAAATGATTTCCAACTTATTGATCATTTCATTGCTGAAAAGAACTAACATCAGTGGTGATAATGCAAAACAACTATTTTTTTTGTAGATCATTAATGACAACTTAAACCTTAACTTCCATAAGAGAATGCTTTACAGTATTTTAAAATTTAAATTTAAAAATGAATTACAAACTTTAGCAAGAGCATCCCTTGTGTATTCAGCTGCATTAACATTATGGCGTTTAGAGACAACATCTCCTTTAGCTGCAACTACCTAAACAATAAATTAGCTGACATATTTATTTATCGAGTAAATTTAGTCCCTCAAATTATTTGCAAAAATTTTATTTATCAACGTGAAAATAATTTCCTGCAAAGAATAATTTTACGTCAAAATTCGAAGTTGAATATTTGGTAAACACAATAAATATGAATCACATGACGTGATTTCAAGATGTGCAAATTGTGCAAATATGCAAGCATGCAAATTGCAAATGTTTGAATTAACAAATGAATTTATGGAATAATTAGGTACTGAATAATTAGATGATATATTGCGAATATTGTTGAAGACTCAACAATAATATAATATCCATAAAGTTATTTTGCGTAGTTCGAAGAAAATAAAAAGAAAACTTCACGATAATAATCAGGTTAAAGAAGGCAATAATAACTTACTTACCTGCATGCATAATGCTCTCTCTAACTCTTCACTTGCCACTTGCAATGTGTCGGCACAAATTTGGAGTTCATGACGATCTTTAACGAAACTTTCGTCGAAATTTGTTTCACTTTCGATAAAATTAAGATTACCCAACAATAAAATACTTGCCAGGATGTTCCATATCTTAAAGTATAAAACATCATTATTTTAAAATTAATTTCATTTCTGCAAATCGATGTTTTTATTCGTAACACTTAAATTACTTTAATGTAAATAATAATTGAAAGAATACCTGTTGTTCAGAATTTGGCGCAAATGTTTCAATTGCTCTCATTGCTTGCAATGCTTCATTAAAAGAACTCATATCATCCATTGTATTTGTCTTAAATACAGTAAACAGACATTTATTTGATTGTTCTTTTAGAAATCAATTAATTTAGAAAAGAATAAAATATCAAAATAAATTATCTTTTCTAATCATTTTCCTACTTAAATAATGAATTTTTTTTTGTTAAATATACAACGTCACTTTAATTATATACTTACTGTCAAATACATAACATAAATTTACCACAATCGTTTGGCCTTGATTTAGATAAAAGTACTTCTGCGGGTCACGTTGCAAATGTAATGTATGCAAATGATCATTGTCTAATCCGACCAAAAGTTGATAAAAAATGTGGAAATTACGTTCACCATGTTGTTGGCGAACGACACGTGACTATAAAATTATAAGAAATAATAATCACAGATGAAATAATTGATTTGTAATGTTGGAATTTCTAATATGCCTGATCTTTTTTTGGCAAGATTACTTTGGCAAATATTACTCATTATTACAGATACCAAAATAACTTATATGAAAAGTAACCATTTCAGGATGTTCATTCACGATAACCATTCACTTATCGTGAATGAACCAACAACAGTTATTCATTATGGCTCAATAAAATGGAATAGTGACCTTTTCTAGTAAGTAGCTACTGATATGACCACCAAATGGATCGCCTTGAGAATTGAAGTTTATATGCATGTATTTCCCGAAACGGCTTGAATTATCATTTCTATTGGTCATCGCACATCCTAACGATTCGAGAAGAGCTGTTGACCGGAGAAAGATATTTTTGACTCTGCAAAAACGGACTCTCAAAGAGGAGGAAATAAAGATAACCGATTTGACAAAAGTAAGAAATTGTAAAATGTAAAGTGGGAAAAATAAACCAACTTTTCAATTTCATGCTGCTTTTCTACATTGGTAATTGCGGCTAAATAACGCATGATTATTTTGCTTGTTTCTGTTTTACCGGCTCCGGATTCACCTGAAAGAGAATCATTCAGTATTATTGTAAGAAGAATATCGGCGCACTTAGGATTACTGCGCCTGCTATATTTTTTTATAGAACTTCAAGAATAAATACACTTCTTTTAATTCAACCTTACAAAGTTTAAAGATAGTTCAGGTAACCTCCAAATTTTAATATTATTACTATATAAATTTAAGGAAAGTTCGTATCTGTTGAAATTTATACCTGAAATGACAATACAGACGTCATGCTCGTGCCATTTTATCGATCGGTAGGTCACATCAGCAATAGCAAATACATGTGGTGCACGTTCGTAGATTTCATGTCCCTTATATTTACGTATCATATCAATTCCATAGATGGGTAGGCATCGATATGGATTTACAGCTAACAATACTTCACCAATATAAGTGTAAATTTGACCTTTACTGTATCTGAAATAAAAAAAATAAATTTTGACTAATTTTAATAGCAGTTATAAAATATGAAGGTGCTTGAAAGTTGATCAAAAAATATCCTTGAATGAAGAAATCGATGATTATTTGATCATATCATTCAATCTTATCTATTAAAATAAAGTTTAAAATCGTGAAATTATACTCAGTATTGAATGAAATTTGAACCAACCTATCACGCAAAGTATTAACAATGTCATCATGTGTGACTGAAGAAAGAAGCACCAAATCATCCACGATACTACCGTCCCTTTTAGAATTCTCCATAGCTTTCTGCAATAAGTTAACAAATGATTTGGCCAAGGTGAAATGGTTTGTCTTTCACATATTATAATGCAAACTTCTTATATTGAAATATTAAAATCAACATTAAATTTCCTTTCATTGCTGAAATCATAAAAAGAGATAACGAGTGATCTTATCAACTTGTACTGCTAAATTTGAAGAATGCGAATGGAAAATTTAAAATTTAAACTCAAGTTTAAACTTTGGTAATTTTTTCATGAATCAATGAAATAAAGGAAACCCTTACTGCAGTTCTCACTAACAAGTACGAAATACAAAATGAAAAATGGAGTAGCATAAAGAATGGATGACTCAGTTAAAATTAAAGTTAGTTTTTGAAGGCTTATCAGTATGCTTGATCGTGTGAAATCAGTGCAAGAATAAATGAACTTTTTTTCCTCTCACAATCTCCCTTCCAACACATTGATATATTTCATCAATATTGCATTCAAGTGATGTGTGATTTAATTAGAGTAAAGGAATATTATTTGTATTGAAGAAAGATTAAACCTATGAAAGTATATGAAAATTTTAGATTTATATTTAAAAAAGAAAGTATAAAAGACGGCGCTAATTGTGATAGTGTAGTGTGATAGTACACTTTGATAGTACTCTTGTTGTATGTCAGAAAATAATTATTTAATTTTTTTAACTTATAAATAAAAACATTACGCAACGTCGATAAGCATACACACATATACAATTCTGATCACATAATTAGCGGTAGGATTTAATTTTGAGCGAAGTTTCAATTTTGTAAACGAAATGATGCAAAAGCGCTGATATTAGTAGATATCACGTGTCAAAATTTTGCTTGATTAACACAACAAATTCAAATGACGTGTAATTGGATTATCTAATTTTGCTAAATCTGAATTGCATAATTGGATGTTTAATATAACTAAGAATAGAATTGAATTCAATTATATAACAGCATCTACTGATTCCATAAACAATGATGTGAAAATTTTATATTCTTTGATTAGATATTAAATTTTTTCATACGTACGCGTACACTTAATTTACATTTAATCATCACTTAATATTTATATAACAATTGGTATGCAATTTAATTGTTTAAAATTTATCCAAGATCTTAATGTGACAATATCTTCTCAAACTATCTTGCTTCAATTAATTCTTTATGAAATAAACATACGTTACGTAGAAATCACGCGAATTTATTAAGCTTAGAGAAGTTCTAAAAGTTTAATTAAATTTTTGAAGAAGAAAGAATGATTTTAGTTGCATAAAAAATGGCACCCTATGTACAAGTAACATAGACGTCTCGAGTGTAATTGTCAGTAGACATGTGAGGAAGTAAAGAATTCGATAATGTAAACATTGAAAAGTTTGCTATCAATTTTATTTTAATCAGTGAAGAAAAGAAATGGAATTATTTTTATGACTGAGAATGATTAATGATAACTATCATTATCCGCTACCTTCATTATAAACTGTATGGAATAGAATTGACGTATGAGTAATATGAAAACGTACATGAACCTTATTGCTTTAACAAAAATAGTTTACTCATAATATTGCAATATATACATATACATCACATCACTATAATAGATGTTTAGAAATTTTAAGATGAAATCGATTTTTAGAAGCACTAAAATCGTCCTGAATAAATACAACTATTATCATATCATACATAATCGTACAATAGCGCTTTTTAAAATTACAACATTTGAATAACATTCAATTTTTATTTGCCTCAATCAATGAATGATCCGAAATAGCCCAAATCGAAGTTATTATAATTATTAAATTATTTTATGCTTATAATCAATAAAATTGCTAATGGAAGAATTAGTAAAAAGATGAATATGCAATATAAAGTGGCTAATATGTCCGTAGTAAACCAGTCTTATAGATAAATAAATGATAACCATATCTAATATGAATAATTACAAGTAGATATACCACAACAAATATGAGAGCTCTTTTGATCATATTGATTGATTTCATTATCATATAACGCTTTTGTCTTCATGAAAAGTTTTTCTTGTAAAAGGGAAAAAAGAAACGAAATATCATCTTATCTTACTTTTCCCATACATTTCAATTTGCTAAATAATTCTATGCAATTAAGCAAAATTAACATTGCAAAAAATTTCGCGTATGAAGAAATGAGCGGAAAAGAAATTAATTATTTCTTATCAATTTTCCACTCATCCCCCACTTCTATTAGAACTGTATGGAATGGAATTGAGGTATGAGTAATATAATTTTTTTGACGTATGAGTAATATGGCGTACGAGCGTACGACTAACGTACGAGTCATATAAGTGTGGATTTTTTTGTGTGGATTGGATCAATCTTTAAAATTAATTAAATTAAATGGCATTTACGCAAATATGCAACGAATCTTATCATTTAAATAACAACTTCATTACTGTTCACAATTATTGCATTCGCATATAGACGCTATTAACTGACCCGATATCCCGTGGTATCTCAGATGAGTCCTCAGAGTCCTATCTCAGAATTAATTTCCATAATTCCATTGAAAAGTTTTTTTTAACTAATAAAATTTTTGACAAATTATTTATTAAATGAATGAATAAAAATGAACAAATATGATAGGCGGGAAAAATTATTTGAAAGACAATAGAGCTAGAAAATCTTAGAGTTTTTGATAGGTAAGAAGATAATAAACCTTTCTCTCTTTCCGATACTATGACATGAAATGATTCATGATTTTGAAGGAATTATGTCCTCGGATCTATTCAAAGGTCATTACATAATTAACTCTTAATTCTACAGTGATATCAATATTTAAATATATTCTCAAATCTGCACTAATATCGCTGGAATAGACCCAGATCAAAGAGGCGATAATTTGGGAAAAGGAATTTTTTTTTGTTCTCCTGTTGGTATGTTATTGTGCCATTTGACCTGAAATGATGGATTTGCGGTAGTTGAGAAAATTCAGCAATCCGACTGGTTTATATCCTTTTTACAAAATAGTATTATAAATAGCATGAAATAATGTGCAGGATAGGCTTGCATTCAATTTAAGCTCAAATCACAGTTACTTATAAAATTCATAAAAATTTATATATATATATTACTTATAAAATTTATTTATATTATAACTTTAAAGTAACTTTTAGACATTTTAAAGTTACAATGTAAGTCCTACAAGTAATTCTGATGATTTCTTTTTTCTTTAGAAAGATGATGCTATATTGAATAACGGTAGGTCACGTTATTGTCCTACGAGTGGTTAGGCTAATTTATATTAATAAGTGTTACGACTTGATATCATTGAAATTACAGCTACAAACAAATAATTGAAAGTAACTTATTCCATTTAGAAAATATTGATCCATTGATTTAGTAAATAGCTTTTTGATCCGTCATTCTAGTATTTACGATCGGAGTACTGTTTACTGCTAAATGATTGAATTAAATATTAAAATGACCGCCATATGAGATACACTAACATAAACGAATCAGTTCTTCTATCTCACTTTATGATAGAATAATTCCTCACATAAAGGGAACAAATTAGGATGTAATTTGCTTGGTAATACTTTATTCATACAAAAGGATTTGACCCGGTCGAAATGGATTTAATCCTAGTTATTAGCAGTAGTAGTAGTAGTATTGAAATGATGGATGCTGAAAGTTCTGTTGTCCACTTTTGAGGACACAACAATAAAAGAAGACGATAGTCGAACTAATTGATTGCACAAGTAGAAAATTTTCTTCTTTCTCCGCTTTTATGATAATTTCCAGCGCGATTTAATAATGTTACTTTTTTTTTAAAAAAAAAATGTTTTCATTAATTGACGACACTCAATTATAATTTCTATTATTTTCAATTAATCTTTTCTCAAACAAACTGAGGAAAAATTGAGTGACAATTGAAGTTTAAATAGTTAAACTTATTTAAGTAAACAAAACTGAAAAATTTTATTAGCTTAATTTATGAGGCAAAATATGCATTAATTTATATTTGATATATTGCGAGATATATTGCACAAAAATTATCTCACAAAAATGATAAATTAAATTTCAAAATTGAAATATTTTGATTTGAAAAACGAGAAAATTACCAAAATTTTACAGTAACTTATCGAATTAATTTGAAAAAAAGTTACAAAAGAAATAATATCGTATAAAATACTAACATCTACTAATGTAATCATTGTGCGCCATGGGAATTGCTTTCAATGATTTCAATGAAAAAAATAACTGTATTCATTTGAACTATTTTTCCAAACAGTTTCAAAGGATTATCGAATTTCGGTCATTAAATAAGAAATGACCTGAAATGAACAAATTTCATAAACTATGAATAATTGTTATATTTCAATGTGATTCAGCAACTGATTTATATTAAATTAACAACAGATAGTTAAGAAAAAATTATTATTTTTGAATGGTCAAAAGTAATCAATTTTAACATGTCTCATTTTGGCAGAGAAGAGATCGATTTCGAATGTATCATTTGAGGAGGAGATGAAGAGGAGAGGACAAATCAATATTCAACAATTAAGAAGAAAACTTTTATACAATAAAATCATAAAATAACTGTATGTGAAGAGTTCTTCGTATGAGACGGTTTTTGCACATTCATAAAAATCTATGAAAATAATAATCCTTAAAATTCAACCTGAAATGGATAGAAAATTGAGAAATGGTGGCGATTGTTATTACATTCGACTGATTAGGTTAAATTGTTATAGGTTGATATTCAAATCACCCTGCATTTCTTTTCTTTTTTTTGATGATTAATTATTCCAGTTTCTTAGCTATCCAGTAAATTACTTATTCCATGATTCATTAATAGTTCACTGATAATAACAATTCTTAAAGAAACTTATCAATCGTTTGCTGTGATTAGAATGTTTTGTTGCGTTTTTAATTAAAGCCTAAGAAGACAAAGTAATAACCTCTCTCTGATCAATGATTAATGGTACTGTGACGAACAGATCACTCGATGAGGTAAAAGTAATGGAACGAAACTGTTTCATAAAACCCTTCGTGTTTATATATCTCGTACAAACGCAGCTATATAGTGACCTTCCTGACGCTAATGATTGGTAAACTCCAATATATTGTAACAATAAATTCTAGCGTAATAAAAACATGTTTATACGCTACACAAGCGCATTCGGATCGCGGAAAATCTGCCTCAATTCTCCGAATATACGTGAAAAAAAACTTATGAAATTATTTCGCTTAAAAGCTGAGATATCTTGGAATTTAGATAGTCAATATTTTAAGATTGAATCATCTTACATTTTGCTCTATGTAATATAATCTATCCCTATTACCTAATTCGGAGATACTTTGTAAGACTAAAAACATCATGAATGAAAAGTTTCGATGATTTTGACAACGAATTGAAGTGTACTTAAGGAATGGTTCTTTGTAGTAAAGATTTCATTCAATTTTAAAACTTTTCAAATAGTCGTTCGATACTCGATATTCCACTTTTTTAATTCATAACAAATTAGGAATTATTAGCAAAGAATTCAAATACTTTAGAAAATATTTAGCAGCATCAATCTTCACTGTGATCTTAATTTTCTCTTTTCTTTTTTTCCCTCACTTTCACTCTTTTTCTTCCTTTCTCCCTTAATGGACTTGAATTCAAAAAATTCAAATCTGGAATTATAAAGTAGAAAAGTTTCGAAACTTCGTGAGGAATAAAAAAATTAAACGAAATAAAATATCCACAAATGCTATGAAATAGAGAAAAGTAAAATAAAAAATTGCCAAAATAATACTGTATGATAAGAATCCCATTTTTATCAACATGTGCAGAGCTTCTAAGCCCCATACTGTTCATTATAAGCTATTGCCTAGCAAAACAAGGGGGAACAAAGCTATAAATTATCCTATTTCTTACAGTATTGCTAATCGAAATTAAAAGAAACAAACTGAAAAATCTCTGCTCGACGTCTCTTCCCTCTCCTCTCAATCAGTGATCGTTGACAATGGAACCCATCCACGGAGCATTTGTTATTTCTCCTATAAATTAGTCGTTAAATCGGCACTATCGATACCTCGTCCTTCAAAATATACATTTTGCATTCTAGAAATGTCCAGGAACGGACTAAATGAGCAACAATGGTCTGTTCGCTCATGTAAGGTCGTTGAAATGATTATTCAATCCCTTCTCATGTATTTTGCTAATACGTTATACAACAATTATATTCAAATTATGATATGCGGGTCAAATTGCTCTGGAAGATTACAGACCAACTGATAAATCAATAACTGCTTTCGCCACCAAACAAGGACGAAATACAAACGTCAAATTTATATCTGCACTTCCAAAATTGTTCAAGTACAGTTCTTAGTCTTTATGTCATCCTATAAAAAAACCTTGCTTGCTATTTACCTTCTCTTTACTAAACATGTGTTACCTAAAATAACGTAAGGATGAAGCTTCAGAAGTCATTTCTGTTGCAAAACTTCCGAGCTTTCGCTAATATAGGTAAACCGAATGCTTTAATATGAAAATATTTATTTTTAAATTCATGTGTCTTCAGCAATTTCACAATCATTATGACCAGATAAATATAAACGCGATAAAAAAACAAAATATTCATATGAAAAAAGCTGGTCGAAATCTACTTTTCTACAACTAAGATGAGCTCATATAACAATATGAACAGTGAGACTTGAGTAGCAAGAGGTCATAAATACTTGTTCACAGGACAATAACTCCAAAAATTAATTATCTCATTAAATTTTATGAAAAGCCGAAAATCGTCAAATCCGAAATCTTCAATAGTCGTACCCATGTTTATCGAATCCATATTCTTTGTACCTATAAAATGAATTAAGCTAAAAAGCGGAGAATTACCCTTCCTGTTATATTATATTTTGTTCTGGATATCGTGACTATGGTCAGAATGCTGCTCTGAAATCGAACTACATGGCTTAAGATACGCAACAAAAACAAGAAACATTACTTCTTGCTTACCATTATATTACGAAGAATATTTTCGTCATTGAGCATATGGTGCACTACTAATCATAGTCTTCAACTGAACATGGGGAAAGAATGATCTTATGATAACTGTGCCAAATCCACCATTAATAGCTACTCAAGTTTTAGAAAAACAGTTAATTCCATTCATAACAATTACCCTGTTTAAATTCTTATAATACCCAGCCGAAATGTCATAATTATTAATAATACTCATTTCGTTCATAACTAATATGCATATCCATAAGTTTTCATCACAATTCGATCTGTATTCAAAAATCTGGAACTGTTCAATCTCCTTCCGACATCTGATCTCCACTCTGCATCATAATTATGTGGATGAAAAGGGTATAGCTATGATGTTTTACGAACAAAACACAACAGGGAAGTACGTTCACCACCATTCACAAATAATTTATTTATTATAGTAAATAATAATTAACATACCACTTTCGTTCCCACCACCACTCAGACATAGGAACGAACAATTCGGGTTTGTCGTAATTCATTTCCTCTAATGTAGGGATGCCTAACTCGTTCATCGTAGGCTTAATCTGGAAAACGGTAATTTGGTACACTAGCCAAAAGGTTCATTTCAATAATCCCAGAAAAATGGATCAAAAGATAAAGCATAGAGACTACAAATTGAAAAGATACAGAAAGGAAAAGTTGTCTGAACAACCCTTTTGTTAGATACGACTATAAATATAATGAAAAACTAAAAGACTTATAAGACAGAAGCCCATTTTCCAAATAAAGCTTGGAGGCCCATTTTTCAAATAAAGGTTGGAGTTGCAGAAATGCTCTGGAATCAGAAATTTATGCAATCGTGATTACCCAGAAATGGTGGTGGTACCTCCTGCATATTATACTCCGGGAAGAAAGTTAATTCCAAAGAAGAAACGAGAAGACTCCTCATACCGTCTGATGTTTCCTGGCAATTATCTAGATAAAGGCAAAAATGTACAGATCGTGTGTACCTTATCCAATAACCATCTATGAGTCCATCGTCTGAGAACACATTTTTCTTTAAGAGATTCAATAAAACGTATGGCAAGTGCAAAATCGTTCACCCGTCGGCAAGCACGTAGCACGGCATCACAGATATCGGGATCAGGAATCATATCCAGTTCATGCAAATCTTGCATAGCTATAAAACAGCAAGAAAGTAATGCAGTCGTAACAATCAATTTGAGTTGCTCTGCAAAAATATATTGATTCGTAGCTTACCTGCTCGCAAAAAGAAGCCGTCGATGTTTGGATCGTTGAAGATATCCATATAGTGTTGATCGAGACCTGTAATTTGAATTGAACAAAAAAAAAAATATATCTAATTGCACATTTAGGTATGGCACATAACTTAAAAGTAAAAACAAGTAATTAGGGTATACTAATTTTTATGGCATGCGTTCCTTCAAAATGCAAGTTTCGACAAATCAGTGGTGTATTTTATAATCAGTGTATTTTTTTTTTATAAAAACAAAAAGAAAAACTTTATACGAATACAGTTCGTATTAAAATGAATAATTTTTACGTTTGTCTTCCGCATCGGCGAAAAATTTGCCATTCTGAACGGAAGTAGTGGCAATTTGACGTGCCAAATACGGTTTCATTGCAACGGCTTTAGTTACAAGATGAGCGAGAGTCAACATTTCTCTAAATCAACAAATATTTTAGACAAGCTTAATAAGCCAAAATACAGCATAAATTAATGAAAATACTACCAAATTCTTTAGGATTAATGTATGCAATAAAAAATAAGATTTAAATTTCAGACCGCTTTACTATTGGAAGTGCATCTCACTTACTAGTAATAGGAAGACAACGACAGCACTTTATTATCAAACGGACGAAACAAATGGATGACTTGATTTTCTAAACTCCAGAAAAATACCCGAAGGATGCACGGAGGAGGGGTTTCGGGCTGGACATTATTCTATTTAATTACAGAGTAACATTACATCACACCCTTAACACCAATCACACATCCCCACTCCTTCTCAGACAAATTTTTTAATTACGGTTAGTGGCATTTCAAAGTTCTCGAAATGCAATTCTGTTCCACATCTGTTTGTATGACGCCTGTGAAATGGTGAAGGGAGTTCGAGGACAATTTCAAATTATTATTGTTTCTTTCTTTTTCCCTACTAAATTATGCATAGACGAAAAAAAATATTCCAGTCTATACCTAGCGCACTAGGAATATAATCCAAAATTTCAAAAAATTGTTCACCCGCCGAAATTAAGTCTGATTGTTATTCGCTCATTCCTGTGGCACTCAAAAAGATAGAACGAATTGCTTGCTCTTATCTTTCTATTTACTTCCTCTTCTTTTCTTTTTTTCTTCATTCGAAACTATAAATTTTAGAGGTAAAAATTTCAGCTATACAATAATCAGTATGCAATACTATCTCCCTTCTGTATGATGACAGAGTCTTATAATTAGTGGTATCCATCAGTGATATACGTGAAGTATCATGAATATTTTAGATTTGCGGAAGAAACAAATGATCAATTTATAGATCGAATCTTCGAGTTATCTGAGGAGAGAACAATTCGATGTTCTTTGGCGACGATGTATAATTTTGGATGGATTTTGATTTTATCCACGTAAGGCCAACACTACCTCATTTCAATAGCATTCGCATCAGAAGAGAGAACAGCATCACATTCCGTACTTTCATTTCTTACGACTAATTTTGGTATGATATTGTTTTGTTCTTTAAATCCAATGATTCCTTTATTTTTGTTAATTATTGTTATAAGCCATGATTAGAATTGAATTGTTTTTTCCTCGTGTGCTGAACTACGAAGTCATTTATTGGATACCAAATTTCCTGAAGAGCTAAACCTTCTATGCAATGCTTCAAGTAGTGCATTACATCTATAGATGATCATGGTCACTGGTCACTGGTGGCCGGTCCTGATCCAAGGATGAATAAGGGGGTGAGATAAATAATGCTTTCAGTGTAGCTACGAAAGCACAGTCTGATTTGTAGACATAATTGGTGAATTCAAATTTTGAAAAGTGTCAAATGAAGTATGCCAACGTGAAGGTTGTCTAATTGATGGCTATAGTCCATTACATTCTCTGTCCACAGGGAGTGTATATCAACTATCTACCCTCTGTTCACTCACAGATATAGAAGGAAGATTTATCCCATCTGTCCACATAGGGTGATAGTGATGAATAACTGAGAGGGCTGAGTGGTATTGCAGAGTATTGGATAGAATGGCGGAAGGTGCGACTTATAGAGAGATGTGTCACCCCTCAACCGTCGTGTCCATTAGCTTGCCAAATGACCCCACTCGACCTGACTCATCGGCCTTCACTCTATAATACTAATGATAAATCTTTCCCTCTAGCCTTTCGTCCTCTTCCTTATTTTCATTTCATTCTTTCTTTTGATCGTTGTCTTGTTGATTTGTTCGTTTTATGATGGTTTTTTGTTACTTTATAAATAACAAAAAGTCTTCATTAATTAATTTTTAGTAGAACAGATAACGGCCTTCACTCTACAATACTAATGATAAATCTCTCCCTCTAACCTTTCGACCTCTTTCTTACTTTCATTTCATTCTTTCTTTTGATCGTTGTCTCGTTGATTTGTTCGTTTAATGATGGCTTTTTTGTTACTTTATAAATAACAAAAAGCCTTCATTAATTAATTTTCAGTAAAACAGGTAATTGCTATTTGCTTGTCAGTTATTTCTTATCTTTAACCAGCAATATTCGTAAGATTCCACTCATTTCATCAATTCGTCTCAATCTTTCTGTTTCCAAAAAATCATATTGATTCAAGGCTTTTTTTTAAATCTAACCATTTCACGGAATGTTTTTGACGTGATTTTTTAACAATAATTCTCAGAGAATTTGTTCAGTAACTATCAATTAATTTTTATTAGGAAAAAGAGGAAGTGAAATTGAACGAAATTTAAATGGTAGAATATAAAAGAGGAAGGATTAATTTCTCAAATTACCTGCGTTTGTTTACAATTATTTTTTTAAGTG